GAGAAGTTCATATCCTTGATTTCTCTTTCTATTACCAATGATGTCATCGGAACATATGATGTGACCAATAGGAGCTTGTTTACATTCAACTACTAATGTGTTTTGTGTCAACCAATCAGATACTAGGTGATATTGTGCTACCAAAAATTCAGAATTAAATTGAGGTAGGCAAAATCCCCCAAGAAAACCGTGAAAACCAGTAAGCACTTAAAGAGGATATAAGATAGTATGTAAGAAAGTAAAAAATAAGCCTTCTCTTGCTAACAGAACCTCTATTTCTTGTCACTTCTAGCTTTGTGAGGTGACATTCTACTTGTCAGTCCTTTTACTTCCTAAAACCTTATTGCCTTTAGTAGAGGAAGTGTATACTTGAGTCTTTTTAGGTCACTGAAGACTCAAGTTTTTATTCAAAGGAGTTACACAACAAGACTGAAAAGTCACATAAGAATTTGGGATCCACTATTAGCCATTTTGTTTTGCATGGGTAGATACAAAATCAAGACTAAAAGAAAGAAAGCATTGAGCAAGACACTGAATCTGAGTAGGCGATAAGTATCTCAAATGGTCACAAGAAAATAATTAAGAGCATGGATGAATAAGTTTCTCAGATGATCAGGAAGAAAAAGAATATCCTAGAAAGGTTAACTTCTAATAAGAAGAGGTTTTTAGTAGAGATTCTTTGAAGGATATGAAGCAATTTCAAATTTCTTTTTTTTTTCTTTTTATTTTATGTAGTGTATTTGCACATTTTTAAATATTCACTTTTTCTTTTATTTTTTCCTTTTGTGGTTTCTCAAATTCAGTTCCTTGAAGAATAATAAACAGTGCCAACCTGCTGGCAATAATGAGTAAGTTAGGAGGATCTTTATCCAAAACTTAGTTCAGAATGAAATATTGTTTCCAAGGTTACACTTAGAGGCTGAAGCTCTTTTAAGAATTGAAAGTTATTGACAAGTGTATCAGTATGAGTCTTTTAGTTTAGCCATGATGCAATTGTCCTATATATCTCAATTAGTTTTCTTAATAATTAATAAACACACAGTACTGGCCTGATTATAGATTAAAAAAATAAAAATAAAAAAAAATAAAATAAAAAGCTATGAATTTTATTTCTCAAAAAGAAACATAAGTAATTTGTAAAATTTTATATATTAAATATTTTAGATATTTATTATTATCTGAGATCCATCCTAAACTATTTATTTATCACAAGTAAATAAAAAATCACTATTCAAAAAAGGTTAGGATTAAATGCATTATTGGAATTAAGAATATCCACTAAATAATAAATCTTTTTAAATGATATATAAAAAGAAAATTAAAATAAAAAATGAATAAGTTCTTTAAATGGTTAGGAGAAGAAAGATTATTCTAATCAAGTATTTCTTATTGAGAAGAAGTCTTGAAAAGTAGATCTTTGGAAAAAGTTAAAAATTTTTATTTTTATTATTTTCTTTTTGTTTTTATATAAATACATTTAAATATTTTTAATATTTCTATTTTCCTTTTTTTCAATTTATTATTTTATAGTTTTTTGTATTCTATTGACTTGATAGAATATTTAATAGTGATAAAGTAATGGACTAGAAGGGTTCTCATTCAAATATTATTATGAAGCAAAATATTGTTCCCAAAATTAAACTTAAAGACTATTATTGCTTATGATAAGTTTGTTAAATTTGATAGAAATGTTTAGTTGTAATATATATTATATTATACAAGTAAAAATATACTTATATTTTTGGTTGATTGATGAACTATGATCTAATCTAGTTACAAATATTTAAAAAAAAACAATTATAATATTAAATATAAACAAAAAGTTAAAAAAAATTGATATATTGATTAAAAAATAAATCTCTCAAATATTCTTGAAAAAATTTTATTATTTAGAAATAACCAAGTTTTTTAAATGATCTAAAATTAAAAAAAAATCAGATAAGAAGTTTTGAATTATTTTATTTGATTATAATTTTAATAAATAGAAGATTCTATATCAATCTATCAGGAAATTCTATAGTGATGAACTGTAGAAAATGATCTGAGTGGCTAGAGGATAATCCAAACTATAAAGGAAGTGAAATATCATTTCATAAGTTGCATCTAGAAAAGGTTTAACTTTGTAGATGGGTGAGTCAATATGTGAAAGTCATAGAATATGTAAATACCATAATATATTTACAATAAAATGGATAAACCATATTGACCTGACTGCGGGTTAAAAAAAAAAAAAAATCAATCTATCAGGAAATAGAATATTGTTCCTTAAATCTAATATGAAATATCTAGTTTAAACTTTGTAGTTCAACTAATAAATATATAATGATGAGTTAGCTGTTATATAAAAGTTTATACAATATTATAGATAATAAAGCAAACCATGTTGCAAATAGAATAAATAAAATAAATAAATATAATACGATTTGTTACTTTATTAGTAACTCGAACTATCTGGACAGTCATGTGATAATAATGCATGTCGTGTATATACGCATATTTACAGAATTTCAAGCTTTTTTTCTAAACGATGACCAGTAACGTTAAAAATTCAAGGTCCATGAGTGGAGATATTGAATACGAGCGCATTTCTCGCGCGCTTACTTCCCTAGTCAGACACTTTTTAAACGAGCCTCTTAGCGACACAGGAAAGACAGGTGGAAAGAACTCGCAGTCGTCAATTGAATTGGTAACGTCGCGACAGAAACAGACCTTTGACTATTGTATGAGAATATTGGGCAGGTTAACATTCTCTTTCCATTCTTTTTTAACCGTGTTAATTGTGAAAATAGAGACTAAAAGGTTTATGCTCGTACTAGTCGGTTGACGCCCTCAATAGCGAGTGACGAATTACACGTGTCTGATCTCATTAAAAAAAAGTGTAACAAATTTGTCATATTTATTACTCGCCTCGAACATTTCTTCACTGTATTCACCTCTGCTTTCGTTTTTTAAAATGAAGTGATCCGAGAAAACAAATCTTCTTCGAAAGCTCTACAATTCGCAAATTTATTTGCCAAATTGCAATCCCAGGTAATAATATGTATAGTGAGTTTTTAATTTTAGATGTGTACTAATGTTGAGACTTACATGATGTAGTCTATCGTAACGCGTAAATGGGCTATATTATATTTTTTGCTATCTGTCAGTGATCAATCAAGTAATAATGAAGGGTCTACAATTTCGAGTGCCACAGTAAGTCAAAAAAAGCGCGTCCGTTTATTTCTGCATCAATGATAATGACTTTTCTGAATATCACCAAGACAATAGAAAAAGCATTCTCGCTTCGAGGGTTACAAGATCTATCAAATCCTAAAGAGTTCGAGAGAATCAAATCATCGGATGAAACAAACCGTTTCATACAAATGTCGCCTTCTTTATCAAAGTCGTCGTCGTCAAAGTTACCGAAAGAGGACTTTTTCCCGCCGAGGACCATTTTGACTAAGCAGTTGGTTGAGTCTGACAACAGTAAGTACATTAGTTCTATAAACCTGACGAACGTACCAATAATTGTGTTTAAGATAATTATGAAAGAATATACAACAGTAGTTGTACTTTTATCATTTCACCTCTTTGTCCCCAACAGCGAATAAAGAGATTTCTGAGGTTCTATTGTTACGGGATATCATATTTATTTTTCAAGGAATTGACGGACAATTCATTAAGTATGATCCTGATACGTCATCATACATCATAGACTCGAAGGTGATATATGTTTTTCCTATATTTTCATTTATGATATTTGGTTTAAACTTAATCTGTTGTACACTGTAGGTTAACATCAATAGAGCAACTCGGGATTTATTGCGCAGACTGACGGAATTGGGCAGACTCTATCTACGCGTTGATGAATTTGTGAACCATAATGTAAACGAACCATCTATCGGGCTAGTTGGTCAGGTAATGATTTCACATTTTAAGAGTATTCGTTTGGATTCGATATTACGGATAATTGACGATGTGTATTAGGCCTTCTGTTCTGCTTTACAACACGAATTGACAGAGTACTATAGGTTCATTGCCATTCTTGAAGCTCAAGTTAATAAGGAAGTGAATATCCAACAGATGTCGCCCAATGGCATCTCACTGAAACGCTTGTTGGTGTGGACGCAAGATTCCTTGTTAAAATTACGGATGATGTCCGTGTTGGTGGACTGCTGCAAGCAAAAGAGGGGTGGTGCCCTGGTTTCAGCAATTTACAATTACACGAATCACGGAGATCCGTTTATTCAACAGTTTATTAATAACATGCTTGAAAAGGTATAGTTTTACTTAAATCTTTTAATTTCTAAAGTTTTCTACTTTTTTAATAAATTTGATAATGGCAGGTCTCGTGCCCATTCTTTGAGATGCTGCAACGTTGGATATATGAGGGTGAATTGGAAGACCCCTTCGAAGAATTTTTTGTTGCCTGCAATCCGGACGTGGAGGAAGATTTGTGGCAATCAAAATATTATATTCGTTCTGACATGCGACCAACTTTTATTAGTGAATTGCTTGACAAAAAAGTATGAAAGATTTCAACATTGTTATGCGCAACTATAATCATGTCTGCTCATTTATCGAGAATTGTCAAACTTGACAAGTATTATCATTTCATAGATCTTTTCTATAGGGAAATCACTCAACTTTATACGGTACAGCTGTCATGATAACAATTGGGTAGTTACTAATGCAAAAACGGCGGGAACAGACAAGTGTAGGTGCTTGGAATATTTATGATTGTTTGAAATATGAATGATCGTTAATTTGAATTTATTTTTTTCTAGTGCTAAAATATGGTGACATAATAGAATTGGAGAGTTCTATAGACGCAACTTATACTGCCACGAGCCAACAACTTTTAAATATTTTGTTTACAAAGTATAAACTAAAGGAACATTTTACTGCTTTAAAGCGCTACCTGTTACTTGGGCAAGGTGATTTCATACAACATTTAATGGTTCAGCTAGGGTGAGTTTTCAACTGATTATTTATTTTTCTTATTTTTTCGCACATTTTCTAAATTATTATCGATTAAAAATAGACCTGGCCTTTCAAAACCAGCCAATACACTCTATCATCACAACCTCACCGGCACTTTGGAGGCAGCCATTCGCGCGTCTAATGCGCAGTATGACGATCCCGATATCCTTCGTCGGCTGGACGTCAGACTTTTGGAGGTATCAACACGATAGTTGTACCTAGTGTGAACAATGGAGGAAGAAAAAAAAAAAGAAATGATAATAATTCAAATGACGTTTATATTTCACAGATTAATTCTGGAGATGTTGGTTGGGATGTCTTCAGTTTAGATTATCACGTGGATTCACCGATAAACACTATCTTCACGCCACAAGCGATGCATCAATATCTCAAATTATTTAATTTTCTATGGCGATTAAAGCGTGTTGAACATGATTTGTCATCTGCTTGGCGTCGTAATACGACCAGCGCGAGAAGATTATTTCAGATTAAAGGTATCACGACTTTACTCATCATTCCTTTTTGTACTTGTCCGTACGCCTCTAAATTAATTGCATTTTAATTCTCAAGAGTTAAAAAAGGATGTGAATAATAGCCGATTTGTTTGTAGTGAAATGATCCACTTCGTTTATCAATTACAATATTACATATTGTTCGAGGTAAGTTTTCGAAATTATGACGAACAATTTTGTGGAATTCCATTAACAATATGCCAATTCAGGTTATTGAATGCTCATGGGACGAGCTTGTCACCGATATCCACAAGACTTCCGGGGACTTGGACTCGCTTATAGAGGCGCATAATAAATATCTGACCAATATTACTACCAAGAGTTTTTTGAGTACATCTAATAATCAGGTACATACGGTGTTCTATTTTTTTCTTTCTTTTCTTTCTTGATTTGTTCTGCCATCTACATAATGAATTTTTCGATAACAAGGATATTTTATTAAGAATTATCTATCCAGTCTATTAAAGATCATTGGACTTATTTTGCAGTATAAGAATTGTATGGTATGTATGTCCTTGTTCGAATTAGAGATTTGACTTGTTTTTGTTTATATTACGGTGTCTGACTAATCTTATCGAATCAGGATGAACTATACAATTTTGGTTTGAAAGAAATGATACGCAGGGACGACATTAATGCCAAACAAGTATGCATTTCTTTAATATCCCTCAAACATTATTTTTTGAATTTACAAACTAAATTTCGCGTGATTAGGATCTATGGAGCACTGGCAGATCAAAAGATCTAGATCCGAAGAAAAAATTGACGGGAATTCAAGAGCATTTGAGCGAGATCGCTGGGCAATTTAAAGTAATTTTTTCTCTCCCATGGATTCGATTGGTTACTTATTACGTATCACTCCTAATGTATTGATTTCTATTTCGGATTCCTTAGAGCGAAGTAGTAAATTTATTGACTTCCTTGGCTAATCATCACGATACAGATTTGAGATTTCTCAGTGTTCGCCTTAACTTCAACGAATATTATAATCTTCTCAACGAGAAAAATACTGGTAGGGGAAAGAGGGCGTTAGGAAGTTAAAATTTTGAAATTCAATGATGCCGCTTTGGTTTACCTTGGAAAGTGTAAAAGAATGTAACTCCTCGATGCACTGATGTAATGAATTTTTGAATGGTTGATTTAATAAAAAGATGTGCCTGTTACTAAACATCATAAATTAGTCGCTTCGATGGAAATTTTGGGGGCTACGCCATTACTGAGGAGGAACGTCTTTCATATTTGCGCTTCAATACATAATCCCTATAACAGTATACGCATAAGTGGTGTAACAATTTTCGCTGACCGCAACCGGGACAATTTACGATATTTGTCCTGTCCTTCAGTCCCTTGTGCGCTGAACGCATTCTTTTCTTCGAGTGCGACGTTTTCTTTTTGGGAACGGCCCATAAAAAGGAACCAAAAACTTCCGTCAGACCAATCCAAATTCCGGTTCCGTGTGAGGCTTTTCTCCAGAGTGCGTTAACATACGTTGAAGCAACAGACGCGTCGGATTGCAAAAAACTTTTACGTAGGAGTATGCTAGCCATTCCTTAATGGGAGCAAATCAAAATTCTCTATTTGTTAGCACTTGATAATCCGCAGTAAAATCAGTTGGACTTAATTGGCTAATCGGAAATTTAAGCGAATGCAATTACGAGACACGAGATGATTTTAAATTTAATACGAAGCCTTGTCAGAAAACCCTGCTTAACAAAAAGCAATATTATACCGTTACACCTAAAGGTCAAGGTCATTGAAAAAAAACGAGTACCATTCCCATTAAGAAATTTTGCTGCAACACCATCGCCTTCGCCTGTCGAGAATTCTTTCACGAAGAAACAGTCGGAACAAGAGGAAGTTGAAGAGATCGATCGTTCTCAATATCCTAGACTCTTTCCCTCAAAAGAGGCAATATCAGAAGGATATTATGATGAAGAAACAGTGCATAATGATATTGATGATGCCTGGTTCGTGGATCCAGCATACGAAAATCCGCAACAAGAAAGTACCGCTGACTTTGTCCCTCTATGGCAACGAAAGGCAACCGATATTAAAGATTTTTCAGTCTCAAATCTCCCAGATTCCGAGGAGAGTTACCGTCCTGATACCGATTTCCTGAGTATCATAAGATTCCTAGAGGACGACGGAGTGGAAAATATTACGTTAATTGATGTGAGACGAAGATGCGATTTTGCCGACTGGATTATAATTGGTGAGGGCAAAAGCACGAGACATTTGGGAGGTGCGGTAGATGGCCTATATAAAATGGTGAAGAATATTGATTTTTTTTACTGTTTGAATCTTGGTTGTATCAAGAAATCCAATCTTATAATAACCATTCGTCTTGCCACCAGTTAAAAGAAAGGATCAAGCGACATAACGCGAACCTGCCAAATTCTTCCGTCAACAACTATCCAATTGTAGAAGGTCGTGATTCAGAAGATTGGATGTTAATTGATACAGGCTCGATCTTTATACATCTATTTACACCTGAAGCAAGAAAATATCGAGACATTGAAGGTTTGTGGGAAAGGATAAATCAGCCCGTCTCATCTAAGGAAGAATTACACAAAATTGCCAAAGATATGGAAAGAGAGTTCAGTCAATTCGATCCAAAATTGACTAGGCGACCCCCGTTGCCAAATGATTGATCGTGAATACGTGCTCCCGGGAAAAGTGCATTCATTATTCTACGTGAAAATTATTCGACTGTTAATAAACAGAACCCTTTAATTTAAAATTGCACCTGCGTCACTATACGTGAAATTATTCGATCACTATTAAACCAAATTTTTTAATTTATAATTTTATTCTTTCACACATGCTAACTAAAGAAAAAAGTACATTGGATAAAAACAAGTACTCCACAATTATCATGCTTACTTCTATCCGCGATGACAAGTTTTTAATAAACTATGTAGCCAGTATACCGAAGGAAGATCGAAGGGAAGAAATATCAAGTTGATCAACATATTGGGTCGACATTTAGCAGAAGAACCAAAAAACCGAAAGACATAACGTCTGATATTTAAATAATCATGAAAATTCTATATTCCAAAATGTTCTTGTTGATTTTTATCGTTTTGATGAATGGATAGAAAAGGATGAGTGCAAAGGTTAAAAATTACGATCATAAAGCATTTATGCTGTATAATCCAATTCTGACCATCGTTATCACAATAGAAACGGAATTTTAAAGAAAAAACGCGAAACATTCGAATATTATCGAAAATTAGCTGAAACGGGACGTGTTACTGGAATTGGAATTAAAAATCAGCCGAGATGGGCCATCTATGTATAATGTTGGTAGTGGCTGCATGAATGGAATCGAAGTTGAAAAGGATGAACATACTGTAAGGCATTCGAATATTACCAATAATCAGCAGAGATGATAATGCTGACCATTTTTATCTCTGTTAACCGGGATGTGCACGAGGCACTAGAATATTATCAAAGGTCTGCTGAGATGGGTTATGTGGAATGTATATGCTAGCTAAACTTTATCAAAACATCTTATAGCTATTAATGAATGGATGTGCGAAAACTTTGATAACGAATTAAAAGAAATATTGGTTGAAAATGAGAATTCATTATCCTGGAAATTGTGTTTTATGCGGTGCTTCTTAAGTGGCCTAAAGTTGTTGCACTCAATTTGATTCATGAATCGGGAAGAGGAAGTTATCATAAAGAGTTTGTTAAAGAGGTAATTGTTAATATACTTCTGTTTTAATAAAATTTTGAATTCGCTTTTCGCGTCTGAAGTTAAATGCATATTGCAATGTTGGCTATAAAAATTTATATTGTTTAAATAGTTTTTCGGATCTTATCAATTTTGCATCAATGGGCTCTTTGCGTCAAAATCTTTATTCGGTGTCACAAATGCCATGGAGAGAGAATTTTAAGTAAGTTCATCTCCAAATAATACACTCTGAAAACGTTATCATTTAAAAAAAAAAGATAGATTACCTAAAAAAAAGTTGTGGAATCCGTTGTCTAATAGTTTTAATTATAATGTCAGTGAATGTGTATGTTCTAGTGATAGTCAAAACTCGAGAATTGCACAGATATATTTTATTTATGATTACGAAGCATACGAAAACCTTCTATAAGAAAATTTACTATGCTCACTATACAATTCTTTCAATTTCGCCTCTAACCGAGATTATTTTAGTGCTATTATCTTAGTCTCTCTTTATGGTTCATCTATAGAGTTTAGAATTAGGGAATGAAAAGTGACACGATGGTGGGATCAAGTGACAGGGATGCAGTCCTCACAGAACATGGATGACTTGAAGAATCTCAATAATATGCCAAGAACGTAAAAGAATAGTTTTATTAAAATTCAAAGATCATATACAAATTTTTTTATTAATATTTTTTAAAAAAATATCTATCGTTCCCAAAAATTCATAAAAGTAAAATATCGTTATCACATGCACTACGTAATTCATTTTCATAATTTGTCTGTGGGTTCTGCGAGTAGAGTTTTATGGGGCGATAAAGCCAAGCTGCTGTATAACCTTCGAAGTAATGATTCATCTCCGAAAAGATTTTCTAGCATTTCGAGGGACCACGAGCTTTATCCGCAGTAGACGTGGTAATGGATAAAATATACTGGCAGTTACTTTAAAAAAAATTCTAATCTATCAGCAGGAAAGCGCCGTTTCGTGCAAAAAAATTTTATTCATATTATTTACTACCCAATTTGGATAAATGCATTTTTACGAAAGACATAGTAAAAGTTCGACCAAGTATTGTGGAAAAATAATCCTCATTATAGTGTACTGAATCATCTCAGGTGAAATCCCAGGAGGTCATCAATTTAATTATTTCCTAAAATAGAAAGATTACAAGTGTCAGATTAGTGATTAGTGTATGACTTTATTAGCCGTTCACATGTATCCCACGATAATCAACACGTTCTCACAGGTATTTTCACACACAATTATTATGCAACTTACGTGAAAAAAAGAATCGTGTACAGTATATTTATTTTTAGGCATCATAGTACGCGATCAAGTGCAAAAAAAATTATAAAAGGATGCATAAACCCGACTTTCTCTTTTTTTTTTTTTTTTTAACATCTAATGATGTCATTTTATCTATGTACGTTCTGTTACCACTATACCACTTCACATCACTTCACGCATGTTCTTTACCATCATATGCATGCTCTCTAGCAACGCTGTGTATTTTACTACTACTACAATCACATCACATACTTTAACACCACATTATACACTTTACCACTACCACAATCACACCATGCACTTTGTCACTACCACAACCACATCACATATTTTATTATTACCATAATCACATCACTATCAATCATAACTATTACGCACTCTACCACGTACTTTGCTCCATATTTTACTCTACCACGTACTCTGCTCCATACTCTACTCTACTCCGTACTCTGCTCCATACTCTACTCTACCACGTACTCTGCTCCGTACTCTACTCTACCACGTACTCCATTCCGTACTCTGCTCCGTACTCCATTCCGTACTCTACTCTACTCCGTACTCTGTTCCGTACTCTACTCTACTCCGTACTCTGTTCCGTACTCTACTCTACTCCGTACTCTGCTCCGTACTCTACTCTACTCCGTACTCTGCTCCGTACTCTACTCTACTCCATACTCTACTCCGTACTCTGCTCCGTACTCTACTCTACTCCGTACTCTGCTCCATACTCTACTCTACTCCATACTCTACTCTACTCCGTACTCTACTCAATTCCATAGTTTACTCTATTCCGTACTTTACTCTGTACTTTATTCTATTCCATACTTTACTCTATTCCGTACTCTACTCAACTCCGTACTCTACTCTACCATATATTCTACTTTGTACTCTAATATGCACTCTATCATGTACTCTACTCTTGACCACGTACTCTACTCTACCATGTATTCTACTCCGTACTTTATTCTACCACCCTTTATATCACTTTATATCTATTACAATACCGACATCAATTACCATATATATATTTGTGGATTATAGACTATTTAATACGAATGTTAAGAGGGAAATTAATATTAGAGGTAGGGGGTGGGGGTGGGGATGGGGGTAGGGTGGGATAAGGGTTATGGTTGGGCAAGGGTAACATGATGATATAGGTGAGTGGTAGGGATATTGTCAATTCTATTAATAGAAAGGACTAGTCAATACCACTAAAACCTTGAATCATTCGTGTACCCTGACATTAGGGTGATGATCCTTGCTTTCGAACTTTCGAATTTTCAATTGATCGAACTTTTGATTTCGACTGGTCGAAAGGATGTCATACCCAATCATATTATATACCCGAAATATGTATATAGAAGTTATTAGTATAATTTTAGAAAACTTTATTTTGTAAAACTGTTAAGTTGGTATAAAAATTATAAATTAAATAAAAAATGGCATCAATTGTCACCATTACTAGTGATATTGCGTTTTATTTATTAAAATTTGTCAAAGATACATTGTCCATCGCTTATTATCAGATTCAGTCTTAGACTTAGGTGATTTATGACATGTTGCAATGTGATTTAATGGAGATGCATACTTCATTATCCTCCTAGTTCAGCTCGCGTAACTTGAAAATGCAACAAATATCAAATAGTCACACACAAAGCTTGAGATATGATAAGTTTAAGATCACTCTGATTTTCTTTCCCCCTTTACTAACATCACTTATCTTTTATCACCCGCTTTGATTAAAAGGCTCTCTATATCAGGTTGCGTTTACACACCTTCCAGTCCGTGACATTGATCACTTGTCAAGAGCACGATTGCATTTTTCTCTTCTGATAACATTTAGTATAATAATATAAAGATCGTATTTCCGAAGGTTAAAGGACAATAGTCAGGAAAAAAAGAAATAAATAGACTACCCGATAAAAAAAATCGGTTTTTTTTTAGAGTGAGTTTTTGGATAGTGTAGCAATATCAAAAAAAAAAAAAAAAAATAAAGTGGAATAATAAAATATATACTGAGATATGAATAAACGAATGCATAATGAGTAGTGTAAAGGACAACGTCCTTCAATTATTCCATTTAATCCAATGTTCGTTTGTTAGTAAATTAAACATACCTGCCGATTTTTTCTTTGTATGCCATAGATCAATGACTCAAGTTCATCTCTCTCATATGAGCCAACAACTTAGATGTGTTGAGATACCTTTAACATAAACAGGTTAAGAAAGTGATGAAAAGTACTTGATCCTTGTATAACGTGAAATCTATTTCATTATCATCGCGTTCGTCACCTGCACGTGATATCGCAACTTCAATTTCTGTCCTTGAAACAACACTTCGTGCGATTAGAATACGGCTTTAAAGCATGTTCGAATTCCGTAGATGCGATATATCCAACTAATACCGGTCTATCTAATATTGAAAATCTCATGTCCAAATATTTGAACGTGCTATTAAGATTATTTGTGAATTAAATAAAACATACTGTAAGTTCAAAGGTGTCAAAAATTTCTTGAATTTCTTTTAGAAACAACACATTACATAGTCAATCCAATTTAGCTTTCAATTCTCAAATTCCTTTAATAAAGTTTAACAGTACTTTTTGTTGTCACTTTTGAATCCAGGTAAGTAAGGATGTTTATTGAGTTTTATTAAAAGATTACAAATTCTGTATTTTACA